TTCTCATTCAGCTAACTGACGTCGCGTCCTCTTTTACACAAAAATTAAAGCCCCCTGGCCTTACAGTCACGATAACGTTACGATTGAGGAGGTGTCCTGTGCCGATTCGCGCCCATTACATTGCTTGCATGCAAAGGGGCCCATTTTTGGACTATTGGTTCTTTTCATCTCAACGATTAGAAGAATGTAAGACTTAGAGACTAATCTTGGATTCTCCCACTGAGAAACGCATTCTTAATTTACAATATCCCTGCAACAATTTAACCACCACGCCCGATTGCAAAGACCCGTGCAAACGAAACATTGTTTAACGTTACATGTTGTGTCGGTTTGTACATCCTGTTACATGTTGTTGCATGTCGTTAGGAGTTGTTGCACAAAGCTTGAAACCGGTCAAACTCTCAAACCAACAACTCCCAACATCTACTTTCGTTCCGTGATCAGCGGGGTGTAGCATAACAATGTTGGATCCGTTTGCACAGCTCTTCCGACATTAGCCTGCGTGGCAGGCATTTGAAAGGGAAGGGAAAGGGAGTTTTAGGCGCGAGAGAAACGCGAGGGCCAGGGCGTTGCCGGGGCGTTGGGGCGCCATTGTTGGGGCCACGCACGCGCACTACACACGGTTTCCAAAGTCTTTTGGGTTGTATCCTTCCCACGATACACTGCAGGTATCAACATAGTTGGGAGTTGTCTCATCCGTTTGCACACCATTGCCAACACTGACGCAACCACTCCCTCCATTGTTGGCATAACAACGTTAGGAGTTAAGTCTTATAAAACTCAGCCAAAATTTTAAACATATCTTTTAGACTGTATGGCTGTACTGTACTTACCACTTTTAAGAGTCTGACAATTTTCATTTCAAAGAGTACCGTTAGAGGCTTCTGACCAAGAATTGGTGTAACGGTCTTGTCGTAATCATGAAGAAGTTCGGCGCGAATCAGATGTTCAAAAGAACGGTTGGATGAACCTGAAATACCTTCAATGCAACATTAAAGTACCGTAAATAATGTAATTGAAGCCCCCTCTCGAATAAACGGCCTCTGTCTCATAAACGTCCCCTCTACGATGATAGGTTTGTATCAGACGCCCTTTTCAGATAAACGCCCTCATTCATGGCAGTTACTTGCTGAGAGTCCCCTTCTAGTTAGTTTAAAAATACCAAGGGTGGGTGACTGGGTGTGTGAAAGTGTACGGGAGTCATGTATGGCGGAAATTCAATGCTAGCACCTGTTACAGTTAGAGTGTTTTACCTACAAACGAATAACCTGTGAACGCAGACGTATTTCCGGTCGTCTCTTCTCTCCACCCGAAAAGTGAGAGAAGCAACGACCGGAAATACATCTACGTTCGCAGGCTAGCAAATGAAGACAAAAACTACAAATAGCAATAAATAGCCAGGGTAATAGCCTCCTGAAATAGCCTGACAATCTAACACGCTATGTAATTGCAGGCGTTCGTTAATGATTCAGTAACCCTGCATGATATGGTAACATGGTTAAATGTTAAAAACATTCATCATTCGCATTGCACGACGACTTGTACATGCAATTAAATGTTCAGAGTGTGTGAAGAGTTTTTACTTTTATGTTTACCAATTTTTTAGTTGGAAAGATTTTCAATACTAGAAATAATTAGGCATTCAGTCAGTAACAAGTAAGTTAGGAGTTTTTACCGGTTTTAGTTCATTGAAACTTGAGTGTTGTATAGTTGTGTTTATAAACACAGTTACAATTAGTACAAGTTTTTTCATATTCTTTAAAGCAGGGGGTGATGGAGCAGAATAATACCTTTTTAGTCATGCAGCTAGAGGAAAGGAGTCCGGAAGAGCTCTCCAGCAACTATTACGTACATTTTTCCAGGAACGTTTTATTCAAATCGTTTTAGTTCTCATTTTGAAACAATATTCACGAATTAAACCGTCTGATTTCTATTTCTCTAAATGCCGGTTGAGTACTACTTTTTAGCAACCTTGATGGGATTTTTTGAACCAGCAGGGTGGGCATCTCTCTGCTGGGCATATTTTTTGTTGAACCTATGCCAAAGTATTGCATATAGAGAGACAGACTCATTTGAAATTAAATTTTATCCCTAAGGAGACCATTTTCAGGCGTGACTCATGCTTAATTTGACCCTTTAAGGAGACTATACTAAAACAGAAAACCAAATAGGAGCTCTTAATAGTACTTTTAAGTTGACCTCGAATGCTTTCAGACCTTTTTTACTATCCACAAACCGAACAAAAAATCTGCAATTCATTCTCTCTTCAGCAACACGATAGGCAACCCCCGTCCCTTAATAAATTGGATTCCCTCCGGGTATTAACAGGTGTTTTAGTCTTATTCACTAGAGACGCCAAAAAAAAAAAATAGGCAGAAGGAACAAAACATAGAACTAACAAGAACTTGACAAACTAACCCAGTGATGGGATTGGAAGCAACAAAAGTAGCCCCGTTAACATGCTACCCAACTCTTTCTCGAATGCAACCGTATTATGCTTACTTTCTTAACAAAATATTTCTGGAGCATTTTTTTTCTGTTCTTGGCAATCTCGTTAAATAAAAAACGCCCAAACTTTTGATTGGTTTGACCTGATTAACTAATACGAAATTACGATTTAGCCGGTTCAATGGAATCATTTCACAGACACAATCAAGAGATACCGAGAAAATTACGAATTTTGTAAAATACTGAACAGGTGAAAGAAATAGTTCGGTGTAAAAAGCAGTGCAGTGCTAAAGAAATGTTACTGGAATAGGCACGCCACAGGGCGTCAAATACAGTCATCAACGCACAAACTAAGAGCCAGAACTAACTGCTTAAACTAATAATGACTCCAGGAACGAAACTCTTTAGTGTATGCATACAATTTTACGGAATCACAGTTGGTTGATGAACTTAACGAGAAAATGATCGTTCAGAATTGACTCAGAAGTTCAAACAACATTTAGTGATTTAGTTCTACTGTTGTTGCAAAAATTAATCTACTTACCAATAAGTAATTGCTGCAAGTGTAGGATAAGAAT